TCTCTCTCTCTCTCTCTCTCTCTCTCTCTCTCTCTCTCTCTCTCTCTCTCCCCGCATTTCCTCCCCTTCTCTATCTCTTTCTCCCTCTTTGCAATTGTGGACACTGCGCTAGCCGGAGAGCAAACAATCGTAACCGTATAATTCCATAGGTGGAATCGGAAAAGGACGAGAGGGAGGATGGGGAATGAGGAAGGGTAGAAGTTGGAACCGACAGTACGCAACGTCGCGGTGGGGAAAAGATTTTGTCGAACCAGGCACGTGAGGGTAGCGAGAGATATTGCTCCGACTTTATCTCTCGTACGTGCCGCTGATTTCTGATACTCGAGCAGTGCCTCGATATCGATGACGATGGACGCCGTCGAGTCGGGAATTCAAATCGTAGCTGAAAGTGAATGTTCCGAAAATTCTTAAACACATTTATCATTCGCAAAAGTTACTAATTATCCGACACGCTTTGACTTCTTTTTCGTAGCGGCCAGGAAGATTCATACTTGTATACCTATGGAACCAGATGAGATACGTGTAACGACAGACATAAAAGCCTGCTAGATTTTTAGGGGATGATAAATACCAAATTCTCAAAAGATATCCCGATACTTTCATCATGAATCAATATTTTATCATATTTTTTTGCAAAACATAAAGTTTACAAGGAAGTGAAGGTTGAAAGTGCCTTTCTAGATGCGCGCTATGTTCACGGTGTCGCTTATTTCGCATCCTCTCCTACGTGTGGCCTGTAATATTTAAGCCCGACTCTCAAGTTTGCCGCTCGTTGAGAGATTTAAATCAATGGCGTTTAGATGATCCAGATATGGAGACCGAGGCGGAAGCGCTGAACGGCGAGGCGACCGATTCCCGGAGGATGGAAGTGCAGATCGGCGGTGCAGTGACCCTCGAGTGCGACGGCGGTTGCTGGGGCCACGGGCCCGGAATGGACCCGGTGGGAGGGCCCGGGCCCCTCGCTCTCAGCCGGGTGGTGTACCAGGAAGCCGGGGAGTATCGATGCGTCGCGCCCGATCGGAAAATGCAGGACACGTGGCGGGCTCAGTTACCCTATCACATCAAGGTTACCGGTGAGTCCGATAAAATCTCTACCAGAATAGATTGCCAGGTTCCCGATGTTTGCGCTGCGCGGCTCTTTCCCTCCTGTACCTTCGCTCGCTCGCGTACGTCAGCGGCGCGCGTATACGTCTCCGGGCACGGGAGGGAGCGATTTTTTCTCCCTCCCGTCTGCGAGAGCGCGCAAGCCAAATGCGATAGAGATTATCTGAAAACCGATTAGACGTTCACGGTGCGCGTCCGCAAGTTACAAATTGAATTGCGATTCACATGACGTTGATAATGCGCGAGATGCATTGTTGGCGCGATTGGTATCTGACGAACGTAACATTGTGCGGCGTGTCGCATTGTACCCGGCTGCATTGTAGGTTACGGCTAACTACCTTGCCCGCTATCTGGTTCTAAATTTAATTATAACAGTCGACATTGAATTAACCATGTTGCAGTGTAACCGTGTTACGGTGGTAACACATTAATTATCGGCTTAAACTTTTGACGACCTGCTGAGGAGTATGGCAGAACGTCGTGTGGAGTTAATGCATTCCTTTAATCCGTTTAATGTAGTTACGTTTCGGCAAAACAAATAAACTAGAGCCATACTCAAATGGTATAATTTGTGCATTTACATTTCATGTACACTTGTGTACACACGAAGTTTGTTACGGTTACATGCGCGGTTCAGCGGGTCAAATAAGATACTCCATTATGAAACGCGCGAGTCACGTGAAGAATTAAAGGACGTACATTTGACAGAAATATCTAAAACTCTATTAATTAATTACGTTATAATTATTATATCACAACTGCATTGCATCGAGTAGATTAAATAGGTTAAACAGTTAAATGCTCCAAATTTAGAGGTGCACAAATACAAAGCAGTTGTTTTCACGAGCAACTATAAAATGCGACAAATTAAAATCCAAAGCAAATGTCATTTAGATTTATTGGAATATGTGGTTCAGCTTCAAATTCAGCTTTTATTTGAAAAGTTTTGCCAATAGTATTTCGTTACATCAAACGAGTAAAGCGCAGACGTATTTCTGTAATAAATCTTAAGCTTTAAAAAATGCACAGAGATCTGATCTACATATCGCTTTTATCTCGCAAGTATTTTCACACTTGTAAAATTTATATTACTCTAAACAAACATTAGAACAGATAATGTTAATGTGTAGGTAATACTGCAAATTTGTCTTTGTTTGAATCGGAAAAGGACACGCCACATTTTAGTGACAAAAATCCTATAGAGCGTAAAAGCGGGAGACAGGAATTTTTGGTTCGTTACATTAATTCATTCTCTCAGATAAAAGCCGTTGCGGCTAGCATTACATTGTAATTATGATAATATTTTTTAATGGATATGGCCGAATAATAACCATCGTAATGTTTTAATGTTACCACGCGAAGCCACACGTGAAGCCATACGGCTAACGATTGCATAAAACTTACACACCATGTGTAGAGTAATTAAATACTTTTTCACCGTCACATTGCGGCCGGAAGGAATTAATTAAACGATGAGAATGTGAAGCATTTTCATTCGTTATTAAAGCATCGTAATAGCTCTAAGTATCATTTGCTGTACATTGGACGCGCCATAAGGCTATAAAAATATACGTATATTATTACTTTCTCGTATTCTCCGCGAGTTTTATCGCTAAGTATTATTTTGATACACTATACATGGCGCAAACACAACATAAATATGTATAACGTACAATGCAAAGCACATAAAAAAATATTAATCGTTAATATTTATTTAGATGGAGTTTTTTCATTAATTTCATATATAATATTGGATGTTTTTACATCTATTTATATTTATTTTAGATCTCTTACTTTAATTTTCATATTCGTTTTTTTTAAATAAAAATAATAGGGAGTAGAGAAATATCTACTGTAATTTTCTTAAACAACCGTTTTCAATTCGAACACTCAATCGGTTTTATCCGAGGTGGAAACCACTGAGGGCATTGTGGTGTACAGATTTGCGGCATTACTAGGCATTACTAGGCATTGTTTAAGCATTAGTTTGGGCATTAGGCCTTGCTGGGGCATTAAAAAGATAAAATAAAATAAGATGAAACAAGATAAATAAGATAGAATATGATAATAAGATAAAATAATGCCCACCGGGCATTAGTAGGCATTGGTGTACAAGATTTTGGTCAGCGGTTTCACCCTCGGTTTTTCCTGTTAGTAACAATCGCAGACCATACGATAGTAAATTGTGAACGTTTTCATGAAAACAATTATTATTAAGCTACTAGATACCGAAATGTGTTTAGTAATACAATATTTTACAGTTTCCTTTGCAAACGTGGCGCGTTGATGAATAAACATAGTTTACTACAATAAGTGCCTAATATCTCTGGTCGAGGTGTTCTTTTCAATAATTGCGCACTTTCAGTTTGAAACTCGCCTTATTACTGCGGGAAAAAAAGTCCTTATATTTACTTAAGGGCACGCGAGCTTTAGTTACCTACTCGAATCGAAGTTGAGGTCCGAATGCGATTTCGAATCTGCGCGTTTTTACTCCGGTCGGGGACCTCGAGAGACTAAACGGAAGCGCGAACGCTGATAAAAGTTGAGGATACATACCTACTCGGTGCAGCACAGATACTGGTCGCTTAGATGCGCACGTAGCATACTCTTCGGGGATAGTGGTCAACGGAACGTGACGTCGTATAAGACGAGCAGAATATCAGCTGCGGTTGAGCACTCGACCAACTTGAACGTCTTGAACTACTGCGCTTCAACGTATAGATAGATGTAATCGAATTACGTATAAATGTTTTGCTTATGCGATATTAATCGCTATCGAGGTGACGTGCAAGGAAATTTTGGGTAAAAAATTTCTGATAATTAAAAACTGACGAAACCTCTCGGACAGGCTTGCTAAAAGATTGGAGCCGCACAGTGAGAATTAATTTGTATAAATTTGTGGTTTCGATAAAATTCAACTCTTACAATGTGGAGCATACCACGCTGGGATACATTCAAATGTACTAGGCAATCGATAGGAAACGCGTAAACATTGATAACTCTTGCCGATAACTACTTTTGAGAACCGCGTTACGCAGTCGCTACTTTCGAATTCGCATTTGCGACGCTAGGGAAGAAAACAACTTTATGACGCGAAATGGGAATTGTTGCGTCGTAAAGCAGACCAGTGGCCCAGCATACTCCGAGGTCTCCTTCCTTCGACAAGAGATCGATATAGCGTCGAACCGAGAATCGCAAGGCGGGCTATGTATTGGAAATCGCGAGGCACACTGTGTGTCGCCCCGCGGTTTTACTGCCGCGAAATCCCTCCTGTTTGTCTCCGAGTCCCCGAGCGGGTGAGAGAGGGCACCCTGCCCAAAACTGCCATTGTCACACGGCTTTGCAACGTCGGGGACGGAACGGTCATTCGGCGAGGAGCGTGGATGAAAACGACGCGAGGGATCACGAGCGAGGCAAACGGCGGAAGCGGCAAGAGGCGGAGTGCGGAAGAAAGTTTGCGAACGTTTAACTTTTCCATTCCTCCTCTAGGGTCTTGTCCTCGTAAAACGGTTCCCTCGGACATCCTCGCCGACACGCCCGCCCGCCCTCGCCCAGGCTTACGAGGGCGCGCGTTGATCTGTCCGAAGGGTGTGCGAGGCACGTAGCAGCACGCCGCGATATCTCGTTTCGTTTAACTCTTAACGAGTTTGCGCGGCTCCCGAATGGCTCATAATTTTCACCCGGATTTTGCCCTGAAAACTTGAATTGCGTGCGCAAATTAGCCTCCTGTTAATTCTCCGCGCGAAAATTGAGACTAAAACGCACGGTTAATGCCAATAATACTCGAATAATCTGAATGTGAATGTGAATCCTTATTAGCCTCACAACAGTAGGCCTAAGTCTAATATATTGATTATCCTAAGATAATAATCCTAAGATAGGTACGAGTACTTGGAGAAATTCCGACGGAGAGATGAGGGATTTTGCATGAATTCATTCTTTAACGGAAGATAACGCGTCGGCAAAATTAGTTACAGTCAGTTCGGCGATAGAGAAAAAAATTAATAACACCATCGATCGGAAGAGAACTTTTGCAGGAAATTCTATATTCGCTTATTCTATATTCGAGGGAATCCGCCAACAATTTCCTCGAAATTCCACTATCGTTGAAATTGTTCTCGCTCGAGATTTCGGTCGTATCTCGCGGGGATGTATCATTCATCCGATAAAGAATCACAGGTACCACGATGAATCCATAGACGATAAAAAGACACTCGCCCATTGAAATACGACGACGTTATACGTCCGCGATTGCGAGAGACGTTGGACAGTCCCGTCTCTCCCCTTTCAGCCGCGGATACGACCGTGGGAATATCGTGTGTGCCCGGTTATTTCTCCTCGCCCTATTTACGCGACGATGATAGATGCAGAGCGTTTTCTTTCTCTTTTACCCCCCCCCCCCCCCCGCGTGTATCCCTCATGACCGCCGCGCGTTCTCTATCCGCTCTTCTTTCCTTCCTTCCTTCCACCGCCATTCAGCCCGAAGCAATCGCTGGAGCAATCCCGACTTCTTATTGATTGCGGCTCGGGGAACTCGTGCGTGTAAGGCGCTCAGCCGTCGGTCGAACGTTCGCTATCCCGGCGAATGCTTCCTACGTCGTTTCCATGGAAATGAAAAGACACAGAAGGCACACCGAAATTATTTCGCCGTCGTCGATCGTCGTCCCGCGCGCCCGCAATAATTTTTCCACCTCACTTTATCACTCGGCGCGTAACACCTCCCCCGGGGGCTGTACAACGCGCGAGATATAAGTTCTCGCTCGTCCGATATCAAAATATTTCGCCTGCGATCCTAATATGTATTTCTCCAGGTTGTCGATCCCATTTCCCGGCTTCGCGCTTTCCCCAATTCCTCCGTAATTCACTCGGCTTCGTTCGCCGTATCTTTGAGAAACGCCGCCTCCAAATTCACCGACGTCTCTCACGCGGAATGGAAGATCAGAAGTTATCGCCGGTGTACAGCAAGCGC